GCAGGACCAGGGCTCAGGAGACCTGAAGTCTATTCCCAGCTCTGCCACTGACCCACTGTGGGACCCTGGGCAAGTCACTTCCCCTCTCTGGGGCCCCCTGCCCTTCTCACCCTGAATCTGTCTCTTTCTGGAGCACTCTCTCACTATGTGTTTGTACAGCATCTGGCACAATGGGGCCCTGGTCTTGGCACTAAACATGACCACAATACAAATCATTGACAACATCTTTCTTGTGATTTAAAATGTTTTATTTATTGAGCACAGACAGCATGCCTGTCCTCAAACACAAAGGGGAGACGTTAGTCCTGCCTTCTGGCTCATAAGCTCCATAGCCTGTGAATTAGATTGCAAGCTTTTGGGGGGGAAGAGAGTGCCTCCTCTTTGTGGGTTTGCAATGCCCCATATACACCTACAGCCCCTTATCAATCATAGCTATCTGAAACACAAAGACCAGAGAGGTTTTCAGAAGTAACCTTTCAATAGTGGATGGAGATTTTTTTTTTTTTAAATCACAGCAAAAAGTAAGTAGTGGGTATTTTTTGCCATATTTAAATACACTGGTTTATGGCTCAGCTAGTCCTGAGCCCGTGCATAGCGTGAGCTGGCTGATCTTTTGGAACTGAATACATTTTTTTTAAACAAGTTCCTTTTAAGGCAAATAGTTTTACTTCCCCAGCTCTCAGCTTTTGTTTTATTTATGAGTGTTCAGTTACTGCAGTGTTTGCTGTTAGCCAACTTTCCAAACAGCTTGAATATAGATGTAGATAAATGCTGAGCTTTGCAAAACAAGTGGTAGCCACGTGCCAGCTACATGTTCCAAAAAGGATACGGACACCCACTACTCATCTGACTTGCAGATGTGAGGCCATTTTGTGTTGGGACTCACACAATGTGCTGTGGCAAGGAGGGGAGAGAAAGAGGAAGTAGCAACTATGTGACTGTTATTAAGCACAGATGAACAGACCCTTGGATGGTAGGGCACTGGAATGTGAGATTCAAAAGGGGATTGGACAGTTATCTGGACAGCAAGGATATCCAGGGTTATAACAGTTAATGCTAATGAAAATTTTGGAAGAGATATTAAACCTCATGCCCCGGATTTAAGCCAATCTCTAATGATTAGAGATCAAGATGAGATGTAAGGCAGGCTTGCATCTGCTACTGGGAAGTTCTTACATCTTTCTCTGAAGCATCAGATACTGGCCACTGTCACAGACAGGATACTGAACTAGATGGATGCTGGGTCTGATCCTGTCTGGGATTTCCTATGAAATCCCTTTTACTTCCTGACTCACACCTCTGGGGATCTCGGTGGAAAGATGCTTTTTCAGACACTCAATCTCTGGCCTAGAGCTTTTCTTGCACATCCTGGCGCTTCATATCAGTTGCCTTTGTATATTTCCAAATACCCACAAAACACCAAAGCCCAGAAGTGGGGTTTTTTTTAGGCCTTGTCAACACTGGGGTTTTAGTCACCGGTGCAAACCCCTAGCATAGACATGGGTTTACACCAGTGCAACAAACCTTGCACTAGCATATCTTATCCCAATTTCCAGGTGCCTGCTTCAATCTGGGCTGCAACAATATAAAGTCATATCTTCACTGGTGAAGTTAAACCAGTAGCAAAAAATCCCAATGAGATTCTTTTAACCAAATCCTTCCTCTCGTTTTAATTCACATGTGAAGGCTCTGCTTGCTAACCACAGACCTGCAGCAAGTCAGACAGCGATGGATTTAATACACTGCAAGAGGGCAAGGCAGTCCACTGAAATAAAAACTCAAACATTTTAACATGTATCTTTTTAAAAAATGCTCTTTAAATGAACCACAGGAGGTCTGTGGAACTCCTTGCTGCAGGAAGCTCAGTTTAGGAAGAGTAAAAAAAAAAAATCAGGATTGATCTGAAGAAGAGACACAAACTACCAGTGGTCGGGGACTCCTTAGGTTATAACTATCAGGCCCCACCCACGGGAGGCCACATAGAAACCCTACAATTGCACGACCCACAGAGCTGACCTGGGGCTCCATAACTGCCCCAATACGGAGAACGCCCCATGACCACACAGGAGGGCAAGCTAGGGCCCTATACCCACCTAGGGGGCTGCCCTGAGGCTCTGTAAATGCCCCCACCCCACCTATGGGAGGCCCCACAAGGGCCTTATGACCCCCTCCCGCGTGCCTGGGCACTGTCCTGAGGCCCTCTGACCCCGCCCCCCGGGCATTTCCTGGGGCCCTCTGACCCCCCCACCATGCCCCGCCCATCGCGGCCCCCGGGGATGGTCCGGCCCCGGCGCCGCCATTTACCTTTTTTCACCTTGAGCTGCATCTCGGTCTCCTCCATCGCGGGCGGGGGGAGAGGGGGGTGTAGCGGATGCCGAAGCCGGACCGGAATCCCAACCCGCGGGCAACTTCCGGCGCCGCGGTGCAGCGCTCGAAACGGCCCCTCCGGAAACCGCGCGACGCCGCAAAGGTTCCGCCGCTTCTCTTGCTCCCTCGCCCGACCCTGTTCCTGAACATTCCCTAGGCCGCTACCATCTGGGGCCAGTGAGCCACCCCTCCTTGGGGGACCCTCACCTCCCCGCTGTGTGGCCCCATAGGATGTGACTTCCCCACCCCAGCAAACCCCAGCTCCCAACTGCGCTTCTGTCTGCCAGCCCTAAGAGGCAGGGATTTTCTGCGGCAGACATAATGGGACGTTGTCTCTGCCCTTGAATGCACTAGAATTAAATGTGAAGGGTTATCAGGACAGCTGTTGTAAATTCCACCCATGATTACCCTTGGGGGCCCCATCTGGAAGGAACGCAGTTGCTGGGGGAAGCCCACAGCGTTTCCAGGTCCCCTGATTTCATCCTAGTGCTGCTAATTCCAAGCGGTCGGAACTCATGAGTCAGGTTCCAAAAAATCATGAGATTGGTGCATCGGTGCCCTCCGAGCGTGAGCCCCTCCCTCATTGCCATGTACCAAGGCCAAGTGGAAATTCCCAGGGGAGCTACCCCTGGTGATTATAGTATGGGTGTGGGTGGTGGGTTCTGCCCATCATGCCTGCCCCTCTCCACAAGGTAGCTCCATCACTGTGGGAGAAGTTTTATGGGCAGTGAGCCTCACCCCCCTCTTACCTACCGCTGCCCTATTGTGTGGGGAGACTTAGTGACTCCCCTTTGCACTGAGGCAGGAGAGGGGCAGCTGGTATCACTGGCCAGTGCTGGTGGCTGTCACCAGCAGTGTACAGAGAGGCAAGTAGACACCAGTGCTCCACACGATCTTGCTTGTTTGATGGCACTTTACGCTGCTGTGACCTGGCTGGCCTGACAAGGTCAAGACTCTTTCAGTCTAAGGAGAGCAGCTGATATGTCTTACCTCAAAGTGGCTCAATGGCAGACATACGCCCAGGGGCACCATAGGTCACCCTCTGTATATGCACTAAGCAATTCTGCGTGGCCCCAGCCTCTAGGGAGCATTGCATTGTGATCCTGCACCTTGTACAGATTGCGCCAAACTCTCTGAGCCTCATAAAGGATTTCTTTGGCCTGTGTCTTTTGGTCAGTTGGCTGTACATACGATCCACTGGTGAGAATCCGGCCCAGATGGTGTCTTTAGAGAGGGGGAAATTGCTCACGAGTAGTTCTGTTTCTCTGGAGATATTGTCTGGCAGGATTCTCACCCCACCCAGCATTCCCCTCCCCCCATTTGGATTTTCTTTGAGGAGGGGGTGATGTATGTGGGGGTCACAGTCTGACTCTAGGCAATCACGTACTAGGTACTCAAGGCCCATTCCTGATCTGCAGTGCTAGTCACTAGACAGAGAAAGGGGGTTGTTTATATTCTTGTGGAATGAGATGCCTGCATGTCTCACACTGGAGACACAAGACCCAGCAGTGAGAATCCGGTGAGACGATCCAAAAAGCAGAATGCCAGAGGAGTAATTTGCCATTACCCACCTTCATTCAATAGGTACATAAACCTCTGAGATCCCAGGACAGAAAGAAGGGCAACACACCATTATTCCGATTCCCCAGAAAGAACACACATGGATTATGATGTGGGGGAGAGGAGAGATTTTCACTGGAGATTTTAATTAGCAATTAGTAAAGAGATTTTTAACTCAAATGTAGTTTCAGTGCTAACATACAGCTGCAAGAGCAGAAGATCTACCAAAATGTTAGCCACCTTTGAAAATAAGTGCCTATGGAATATCCTGGGCACTGGATGGAAAGATTTCATCAGCAACAAAGAGATCCAAGAAATCACCAACCAGCAGCTCACCTCCACTAGAATCAGAAGGAAGCGCTGGACACATGGAGGGCATGTACACTGGAGACCAATGCAGACTCCCACAGGAAGCTGTTCACCAACTGGGGTGAGGAAAGGAGGGCGCCCAAAAGAAAGCTTAAGAAGACCCCTTAGCAGGGAGGGCGGGACAGTTCTTAACACCGCAGAGCAGCTGGAAGCAGCCGCAAATGGCAGGGAGTGGGACTAGTTTCCACCCTGTGCAGGATGCAATAATAATAAAGGAGATCTGGAATCCAGGCACCTTGGCATCTAAAGTAGTACCACACCCGCCTTGTCTCCTACCCAGGCCGCCCTCCCATGCTAGCTCAAGGCCTGGCTTCCTCCAGCACCTGGCGCAATGGGAGCCAACAACTGGCACCTCTGGGCAAGGGTGTGTTACAAACAGCAATAACCCAGGTGACAGATTCTGGGTTTGCATCAATCTGGTTTGAGCTCTCCAGGCAGTTTGCACAGACCGCACCAGTTCAAGCATTAATAAGGGCCCATCATCAGTCCAGCTTTGGTCCTATCTGCACCCCCAGAGAGTCCACAGACCTACCCTGCAATAAGGGGGAAGGCGAGTCTGGCCACTGCCCGTATAAACTCCCCCCCCACACACACCCTTGGCATCTGTGCATCTCCAGCCGGACGGGATTACCCCTTGCTGCGGGGCCGCGTAACCAGGTCCGAAAGAGAGGGACTGTCCCTTTAAAGCCAGGCTGTGTGCGAAGCCCGTCCCACCGCGGGTCAGCTGATAGGGGCTCCAAGCCGGTGCAGAGCAGCCTTCTCTCCACGCCCCCCGCCCCCCAGCTTTGCAATGCACGCGCCCCACTCAGAGCTGCTCCCCCCACTGCAGCCCCATCGGAACTCTTAAAGGGCCAGGCGGGCTCCGGCTCTGCACCAGCAGCCGCTGCTGCGGGGCTCAGGTGCATTGTGGGACAACAAAGTTACTTTCAGTTCGGAGTGAGGAAGGGGTGGGGGGCAGCTGGCCTCGCCGGGTGCAAGGATGCGGTGGGTGCAAGGATGCGGTGGGTGCCCCCAGCCGCGGGGGCAGCGCGGGGCTCTGCCTGGCCAGAGGGGCGGGTAGACAGGGCAGCAGGTGGGGAAAGGTCGCTGGGGAGCGGATGCAAAGAGAGAAGTTGGTGCAGCTCGCCAGGCAGTGGCTTGGGGGGGGGGGAAGAGGGCGATGCCCACGTTGCTCATGCTGCCTTCAGCCCCGCTAGGCCCTGCCTTGCCCCCTTGCAGTGGGATGTGCCAACAGGTGCCCACATGCCCAAGGGGACCATACCCATTAGCGGAGTCTTTGCCCTCTGGCAGCTGGATTGGCTGCGTGACCAGGCTTTGCAAGTTACTGCAATGGGGGGGTGGGGAGAGTCTGGAGCCAACAGCTCCCCATGAACCCAGCCAGCAAGAGAGGCACGGAGCCAATCTGGGCTGGGAGTCGCCTCCCCAGGGCTGGGACCCGCTGACTGGTGTCCTCTGCACGCCTGATGTGGGCCTAAGATGCAGGCGGGGGCTCCCAGGGGAGGGGTTAGGATTGGGGTCCAGGCTTTGCACAACTTGGGTGCTTCGCTAGCGTAGTGCTGTTAAACTCAACTGTTACCATTGGAAGGTTTTTCCTTCCCTTGGTGATTTCTTGGGTTGACCTAGAAGCATTTCTACAGGGACTTGGGGAAACTAACGTCAACTCTTCAGTGCAAGAGGCCAAAGTGTGTCTGATGGTTGGAGCTGGAAATCCCGAGAGTCCGATTTTTGGGTACTGACTCCTTGGACTTGGGAGCCCCAGGTTCAATTCCTAGTTCTGTCAAAGACTTCCTGCGTGGCATTGGGCAAGTCGCTTAGCTTCTCTGTGCCTCAATTTCCCCATCTGTATAATGGGATGACTTGCATGTCTTTTCAGCATGGGGGGGGGGGAAGAAAGTGCATTTAAAGATAGTGAGGTGCTCACATACTGTAGTAATGGGAGCCATATAAGTTATCTTAGAGAGTAACTAGAGAGCCAGGGTGGGTGAGGCTATATCTTTAATTGGACCAACTATAATATAAGATATGGTCTCCTCCACCTTGTCTGTAATATCCTGGGAGTCGCATAGCTACCACTACACATAGATCGTAATCAGCGTAAGAGGACTTCACAAATGAACTCTGAGTTTCTGATCGACACTGACTTGCTCAAGCCTCAGTGCTGAGAGCAAGTGATTTGGCAAGGAGAAGTGCACCAGCGGGTGTGCAGACACAAATCTCTGATATATCCCAACCCTAATCCCATTTAAACCAGTGCCAGAACTCCTCTAGATTTCAGTTGGCTCCAGATTATGCCCACAGACAGGCTCTGCAGAACAGATCCACTTTTAATCATAATTGCAGCATATGCCCTGCAATCCCCAGCTGTGCTCCTGCCTTCTTTAATAAGTTATTAGTTCCACTGGGAGTTTCACTCTGGTCAAGCTCTTTGGAAGCCCATTCCGTGGTAGGAGTGTGCATACATAGGTCTACGTCCATCTCTGTAAAAGATATTTTGTCTGTTACTTTCCCGTCCTTAATATTTCCTTGTGTAACCGCAGCTGTATCCAGGGAAGGCGAAAAAACAGTCACCAACCCCTCTGCGGAGGGCTCTGTAATCAGCAGAAGCACCACTAAGCGCCTGAAGGAGCGTAACGCTGAACGATGGAAGATATCCCACCAGGAGATCTGGACAAGGCTGCTGGTGGGGATCAGAACAGCTCAGCGACAGTGCGTCTGCATTTGTATCCAGGCATGCAGGACGATGCCAATCCAGATCTTGACCAAGGCCTTGCTGCACAAACCGGTTAGTTGCTTGGGGTTGACGGGGTGGGGAATGGCTGGGAGGAATGGATCCAGAAACTGGTAGTCACTGGGCACCATGAGTGGGAGATAAACCCAGCAGCAGAGGAAAATCCCTCGCTGTGATCTTAGGAGAGAAGAAGAGGGAGTGTAGGAAGCGTTGTCTGGAATGGCTGATTATCTCCATGCCACTTTATTAACCCGTCCCTTTACATACTTCCTGGGCTTATAAAGCCCACCCCAGGGGGACTCTGGCCAGCCGCTGTGAACTAAACCCACTTCTATCATTCAAATAACTGAGGAACAAATGGGTAGTAAGTGGTGCTTTCGTACAAGCAGTGCACAAATAACATCCAAAGGACCCTCAGCCTCTGGGACAGCTGTTCCACAACGGTACGAGTGAGAAGCAGCAGCAAAGTTTACTGTGGTTGGAGCAGGAGCGTGGGGGTCAGGCCATGTGGGTTGTGTTATTAGAGGACTGAACATAGGACTGGGAACTCGAAGCTCCTGAATTCTAACCCTAGCTCTGTGCAGCCTTGATCAAGTCACTCAGGTCAAAGATAGCAAAAGTGGTCACGGATTTGTGAATGTCACAGTTTGTGGGTGTCCTGTTTGAAACCCCACAGGCCTGGCATTTACCGCTACTGCACGCTGCAGCCTTCATCGACTTCTAATGGAGTGGCACTGGCCCTGGTATCTCAAGTTGGGCATCCAAAAGTCGACAGCTACTTTTGAAGATTTGGGCCTTAAACTCCAGTCTGGTTCCTCTCGGTAAAACAGGGAGGAAGATTTATTTATTCCCTAAGGGTTAGCTAGTAATCGTATAGCGCTTGGAAGATGGGTGCTGTGTAACCTTGTTCGTTGCATTATGGTATATAGCATCAGTCCCTTTTTGGGAAACATCACTAGCCCAGATTCTGTCTTCAGCGAGAAACAACTCACCTTCTCAACCAGTGTTTTAACTTTTTTTTTTTTTTAAACTAAAGCAGGTGCTTCCCTGAATCACTCGACCACCCTGACAGACAGACAGAGAGGCAACGAGGTCTCTGCCCTTCCAGCAACCCTCGACAGTGAGTATCGCAGGGCTGCAAGATCACATTCTCAGAGGCACAACTTCTGCTGTGAAACGCTCATGGGAAAGGCTGTGATCCAAGACTTCGGAGTCTTGGCATTTCTTTGGTGTTCAGCAAATATCTGTGAATCCCACTAACAAAGTGTGAGTCTTGTCCCCCTCTAGGGGCAGGGCCACATAGAAGATAATAACTTCTACTGCTGCCAGTTACTCCATTCGTTCACATAGTAGAGGACTGTGCTGTGAATCCAAAGATCATGGATTTTTGGGGTGTTTTTTTTTTTAAAATTTTCCACGTTTTCCTTTTTTAAAGACCTTAGGAAATTGCATTAAAATATGGTAAATAAACATTCAGGTTAGAAAGTCAAGTTTTCAGAAGTTAGGAAATGCCAGAATTAAGATTGCCTGTGCAACCTAACTTGGCCCGCCGTGTGCGTGTGCATTAGGACACAGTATTTAATGACGTGAGCACATGCTATTTTTAACACCGAAACCTGCCTCATGCAGTGCTCAGGATGGGTGGTGCTATACGAATGAGCAGCTATTCGATATTCTGTTTTCTTCTCACTGTTCGGTGTCTGGCCCCAGGCCTTATTTACTGCGCACTATTCAAACCCTGCTCCGACTACAGAATTATAATTTCCTCGTGAGCTTTTCTGCAATACGCTCCACTATGGCCTCGGAGTGTTTTACAGACATAACACTCCTGTGCACTGAGGGGATTATTGTTACCATAGTACAGGTGGGGAACTGAAGCACAGAGAGACTAGGATCAGAAGTGTCCAATAATTGTGGGTGCCCAATCGGAAAGGGCGAGGGCTGATTTGTCAGAGGCCTTAGCCTTAAAGAACATTTCAGACGTTCAAAGAACAGCTCCCATTGACTTCAGCTCTTCTGTATGTCAGACCCCAGGGGGTCAGAGTGGGCCCCTAGAAAACGAGGCATGCGCAATTAGTGGCCACCCGCGTAAAGTCTGATGTAAGTGACTTGCCCAGCATCACACAGGAACTCTGTGGCAGAAGCAGGGGTAGAATCCAGTTCTCCAGGGCTGCATTCGACCACCTTAACCATGAGACCCTGCGTGCTCTTCCTGCAGTCCCCTGCCTCCGTTGCTGCACACCTGCCAGCTTCTACAACAAATGAGACAGGGGCCTTACAGACAGCAGCCTCCTCTGCACAACCCGAGTACATCCAGCCTGTGCAGTGAATAAGGCAGGGGTCCTGTGGAAAAAATGCCCCGGTTTCACAGCTGTTTGCGAACAGCAAAGGAACGTTGAGAGTCAGGGAACTTCCACAATGGTCTAGGACTCCTGCTTTGGCATAGATACACGCTTTACTGTGGCTGAACGTCCGGGCTGTCCCCTGGTGTCATCTGTAAAGTCAGAATGGCTGAGACCTTCCTGGGTGGTAACAAACTGCGAGCCCCACGGACGATTGACCCTGGCGATATTCCGAACACAGAGTCGTCAGCGACGCTTGTAGCTGCTCCCCTCGCTTCACGCTGACTCGGCCGTTCTAGGCTTCATGGTGACCGTCCCAGAATCCTGCGGGATAGACTTCTGTGTTGGTAGAACCTCCCCCAGGTGGAACTACCCCGGTTCTGCTCTGCAACATGTCACCACTTCAACTCTTTTTTTTTTTTTAAACGAGGCAGGTACGTCCCTGAAGCACTCGACCACCCTGACAAACAGACAGAGAGGCAACGAGGTCTCTGCCCTCCCAGCAACCCTCGACAGTGAGTATCGCAGGGCTGCAAGATCACATGCTCAGAGGTGCCGCTTGCGCTGGGAAAGACACTTGTGTGCTAGGGCCAGTGTCCCTCAACCTTTTCGATACCAGGCACCAGCTTGCTGCCTTCCTAAACTGTGTCAGGGAGATCTCCGGGACCGGTCATTGAGACACACGGCACTGGGGGGGGCTTCGAGTTTTTCAGCCAGGGAGAGCAGCTTTTGCAGCTAAGACACCAGTAGATGTTCACTCTTCCTCCTTTTCTCCTGCCAGTCACATGGGGCACTCCCGATGTTTCTGCAATGGGGTGCTAATCAGGGCATCCAGCAGAACATTGTCCTTGTATCTCTCTCTTACAGTAAAATTGTTCCCAGAGCATTTTTACTCCATTCCCTTTGTTTTAATGATATGTCGGCGCTCCTCTCCCGCACTAGTTAACAAATAGCAGGGTAGTTTTAACACAACTAGCCTGGTAAGTGATGGTAGGAAAAAAGTGTAATTTCCCCATGTTTTTATAGCTCCCCAGTTGCTGTGAACTTTGTTGTAAATCTTTCAAACAAGATCAGGTCGGATATTTGATTGTATTTGTGTTGTTTGTATTTGCCTCGTATTAATGGGACGCTCAGCTAGTTAAAGATTAGGTTGAACAGATACATTTTTTAAAAACAAAATGTTTATCAAACCAAAATGTCAATGTAGCAATGTTTGTATGAAACAAAAAAACAAAAATCCGGGATTGTTTTTGTTTAGATGTGAACATCCCTGCAGCTCCTGCACCCCAAACATTGCAGGGCAGTGCTAGTGCAGAGGAACTTGAACGCAAAACTAGCTAAAGACAGTCAGTTTGTGGCTAATTGTGCAAATGGATGCCAAGTGGCAGCACTGGTGGTGAAAGGCAAGGCCTCCGTCCGGCAGACATTTAAACACGGGTCTAACTAATATGCATGAAGAGTTGCAGTGACTCAATGCAGTAGGAAGTCCTCCAATGGGTTAGAATCATAGGATATCAGGGTTGGAAGGGACCTCAGGAGGTCATCTAGTCCAATCCCCTGACAGATTTTTGCCCCAGATCCCCTAAGTGGCCCCCTCAAGGATTGAACTCACAACCCTGGGTTTAGCAGGCCAATGCTCAACACTGAGCTCCCCTCCCCCGCATCTCAGAATTATTTTTGGTGTGATGGCTGGGAGTAGAGCTATTAATAGGTAAGAGGTTTTTGTTTGTTTGTTTTGTTTTAACACAGATGTGATCTTTATCCCAATAACGTTTCTTATTTTATCCCGTTTCAGTGAGAGGAAGTTTTCTGAGCAGGATTAGTGAGGAGAAAGAAACCCCAACTCCTAATTCACCCATTTTGGCTCAGTTGATTCTACCCCACGCTCCCACCAGAGCACAGAATGTGAAGCCATAATGCAGCTGCTTGCTTAGGCCAGCCCTGATCTTGCATAGGCTGTACACGTACTTACCTGTATCTCCAGACAGCAAATACGAAAAGATGTAATTCTAACGTTTTGTTTCTTTTCCAACACCAGCTTTGTCCATCCACCAGTTGGCTGCTCAGGGTGAACTCAGTCAGCTGAAAGAGTATCTCCGAAAAGGTGCGTGCATCAAACTTCAAGTCTGTCTCTCCGTCTCCTTCCCCCATTTTATCCTGGTTTTTAGGGACAATTTAAGTTTTTGATGTAGAACTTTAATGGCTGCACAGAGTCCTAAGCACGTACCTAGCTGGTCCCCTCCGTTGCTTCAAGAGGCACAAACCCCAGGTGCCATCGCAGAAGGTTTTCCCCAAGCGGGGCTAGTTCTAACTGGAAGCCAAGCCCAGTTCACACAACCCCAGACTCCTCTGGTTGGAGTACCAGCGGGGTAGTATTCTTCTTCCCCACTGATAACGGCCAACCTCTGTCTCACAAGCAGTCAGTAGATCGCCTGCCTCTATGCAAGGCGAAGGGGAGGCTGAGATTAACCCCTTCTTCCCCAGGGATCAGGTCGTGCTCCCACACTTCGTAGCACCAAATTCTTCTCTAAAATTCATTTTGTATTTCCCTCCATTATCTTCTTGATTTGTTTTCCTTCCCCTATATCCCTCCTGGAGCCTTGTTGTTCCCTTCCTCCCTGAGGTCAGGCTCTGAGCCAGTGTTCCAGGCCCAAGAGAGCAACACACAGAGTGGTACAGGAGCAAACTGGGAAGTGCCTCTCTCTTCGGGAGCACTGAATTGTTTTAAGGACACACATGCTCCCCTGGGAGCAGTGGGGGACAGGTGACATGCGGCCTGAGCATAGGAGTGGTAGCCAGGAACCCCTCTGACCTCTTCTCCTGCTCTGTGACCTTGGGCAAGTCACGCCACCAGTCCATGCCTCGGTTTCCCCATGTGCAAAATGCAGCTAATGCTACTGAACCAGGGGGTGGAGAGGAATATTCTTATGACTGCAAAGCCCTCTGAAGGCTGAGTTCTTGTAACCACGGGAGCAAATGGTGGATGGTCCGTATGTACAAGGCTCTTTTTTCTTGTCTGCTCAGGGGAGAACTTGGTGAACAAGCCCGACGAGAGAGGCTTCACTCCTCTGATCTGGGCCTCTGCCTTCGGGGAGATTGAAACAGTCCGTCATCTGCTCGACTGGGTAAGAGCCCAGCGCCAGCCTGGGTGTTTATATTAGCTGGCGGTTGGGCGAAGATGCCCCTCTGGATTTCTCCCAAAATTGAGTGCCCTGCGCGGACCTCTCCTGGCCACACAGCACAGAGCGTAGCTGTGCCTGGCAAGCGCTCAGCTTAGTCAGCCATGTTTTGATGGAACAAAGCAAAGCGCTTTCCCTTGGTCTCCCCCAGCCCCTCTGGGATGAAGGGGCCACCTCTGTTGGACTTAACCCTGGAAATCGGGTCACAAAACTTGCTCCTACACTTTGAGCACCCCTCTCTCTTCCCCGCCGCCCCTTCCCATTGCGCTAGTTACGGTATCAATCTGACAGCAAGATCATTGTCGCTGAAAAGTCTCTGCCGACCCCAGGGCAATTCGGATTTCCATCCAGCCAATCGCCATCTCAGGTCTTCACAGAAGGGTGGTTTTACTGATGGATTTATCAGCTGGTTTTTTTCCAGGGGAACAAAACAGATAGAAAAACACTTTTGCAAGGTTAATGTACCATCAATTATCAGACAGTTCTGATCAAGCCATCTGTAGGCTAAGTCAGGAGCTTAAAGAGCCTTATCTTGCGACTCGCAATAGCTGTTTGTAATTAAAGATCTGCATATTGGTAATTTGAGATCCGCCTTATCGCTGGGCTGCATAATCCACCCGTATTTTTACTCCGTGCTGCATTGTCCTCGGGCTGCTCCCTCGTTTGACTGGGGCCTTTAGAAATAGGTCAGTTACAGTCCTGAAGCAGTGGAGGGTTTATTGTTAGCTTCTGGACAAAGCAAAATTCCTTGCTGCGTGGGGTGTTTAATCCAGGGGGAAGCTGCTACCCCAGAGGGTTCAGAGAAGAGCCACGAGAATGATTAAAGGGTTCGAAAACCTGCCTGATAGTGATAGACTCCAGGAGCTCAATGTATTTATTTTAACAAAAAGAAGGTTAAGAAGTGACTTGATCACAGTCTAAGTATCTACCCAGGAAACAAATACAGTAAAAGCTGTTTTATCCGGCATGTTGGGGGAATAGGGGGTGCTGGTAAGGGAAAAGTGCTGGTTAACTAAGAGAGAGGGGTTTGGGTGCAGGGCAGGAGATTGGGGCATGGGAGGAGGTGTGGGACGGGGCTTGAGGTACCGGATCCGAGGGGCACTCACCTTGGGCGGCTCCCCACAAGCAGTGACCTGGCCCGGCTGCTCCTAGGTGGAGGTGCGACAGGCAGGTCTGCGCGCTGCCTCCACCCACAGGCGCTGTCCTCGCAGCTCCCATTGGCTGCGGTTCCTGGCCAATGGGAGCTGCCGAGCCAGCACCTGGGGCAGAGCAGGGGCAGACCAGCCTGCCGCGCCTCCGCCTAAGAGCAGCCGGGACAGGTCACTGCTTGCGGGGAGCCGCCCAAGCTGAGCGCCCCACAGATCTAGCACCCCCATCCCGCACCCCCTCCTGCACTCTGAACCCCTCGTGGCCGTTCCTCCGCTTAGGAGCAGCCGGGACAGGTCACTGCTTGCGGGGAGCCGCCCAAGGTGAGCACCCCACAGATCTAGCACCCCCTCCTGCACTCTGAACCCCTCGTGGCCATTCCTCTGCTTAGGAGCAGCCGGGACAGGTCACTGCTTCCGGGGAGCCATGTGGACCCAGGTAGGGAGCCTGCCAGCTCTGCGCCAAGCGGGACTATAAACCAGACTTTCTATGGAGATTAGAAATGCCGGTTTCTAGAGCTTTCTGGGTGGCACAGGGCCGGATAACACCGCTTTGACTGTATTTCATAATGGGCTCTTTCATCGCGCAGAGAAAGGTCGAACACCAATCAGTGGCTGGAAGTAGAAGCTAGCTAAATTCAGACTGGAAATCAGGCGTACATTTTTGACAGGGAGGGTAATTAACCATGGGAACAACTTCCTGAGGTCGTGATGGATTCTCTGTCACTGACACGTTTTCAGTCAAGACTGGATGCTTTTCTAAAAGATCTGCCCTCGGAATTATTTTGGAGACGTTCTCCGCCCCATGCTGACCAGGAGCTCAGACTAGGTGATCACGGTAGTCCCTTTGGGACTCGGAATTTATAAACCTACGAATGACCTATACTGTAGGGGGAAGGGCTCGGTAGCTGCGCGGGGCTTTTCCAATATCCAGTTTCTTTAAGGGGGGGTGGGAAGCCCTCGTCGTCTCTGCCCCACAGAAAAGACTCGGCATGCTGGAAAGCAACGGCCAGACCGTTCAGTCCGATCTCAGAGTTCGGACAACACCTCTGTGAGTTGGAGCCGCTCAGGTGAGCGGATAAGCCTGGGCATGCACGTGCCAGCCAAGTGGCACGTCACGCAGCGGTAACCGTGAGCGAACAGAGCCTTGGCCATCCCGGTGCACTTGTGTGTGACCTGTTTTCTTCTGCATTGCTGGTTTCCCCCTTGTCCTGTCCCCAGGGTGCGGACCCCCACGTACTGGCCAAGGAGCGGGAGAGCGCGTTGTCGCTGGCCAGCACCGGAGGATACACTGATATAGTGACCATGCTGCTGGAAAGAGACGTCGATATCAATATATACGACTGGGTAAATGCACTGGTGCTTACTGCCAATGTCACTCCCTGCAACAGCCATCCTGGGCTTTTGCTGTTGCTAAAAGTGGTCTTTAAAAAATAGCCTGCTTATGACTGGGGTTAAAGAAATTAATTTTAAAAAGAAACACTGATGCCAAGCGGGGGAGAAATTCATTGCCCCCCCCCCATCAAGCCCGTTGGTCTGTTTTCAGTTAAGATTCCACATAGGGCCAGCAGTGTCTTGAATGCCCCCTTCAGGGACCAGCCAAAATTGTTTGCCTGATGGAGATCTTTAGTGAACTGCCCATCCTGGGGAACTTAGGAGACTTTAAAGTGGCCCCTTCAGAGAGGCCATTGCTCATTCTCTGGGGTGGTTTACAAACTACAAGCCAATGCATTTAGAAATAAAATGACTTTGAAAGTAAACTTCTAACCCACCCAAAGCTCCCGAGAATGCAGAGCCTTGAAAAATCAAAACCAAAGCTCCAGCCAGCCCAGAGAGACACAGCCACGAGCCGTGGCCCAAGAGCAGGCCTGGTGGGCCTCTGAGATCTCACCCTCTCAGAGAGAGCTCCAGCCAGCCCAGAGAGACACAGCCACGAGCCGTGGCCCAAGAGCAGGCCTGGTGGGCCTCTGAGATCTCACCCTCTCAGAGAGAGCTCCAGCCAGCCCAGAGAGACACAGCCACGAGCCGTGGCCCAAGAGCAGGCCTGGTGGGCCTCTGAGATCTCACCCTCTCAGAGGGAGCTCCAGCCAGCCCAGAGAGACACAGCCACGAGCCGTGGCCCAAGGGCAGGCCTGGTGGGCCTCTGAGATCTCACCCTCTCAGCCTGAAGAGCAGCAGAATCGAGTCCTTCATTTACACCGTTCTTCCGTTGCGACTCGCTCGGGGCGCTGCTATAGCGGGTGGGCGGCGGGAGCCGGGTGGCCCGCTGAGCTCACCCCACACCTGCTGACTCGGTTTAGCTGCCACACGACACCCTGTGAAACTTCTTTGAGTTCTGATGGTACCTGAGCGTTTGGCGGCCGGGTGGAATTCGAGGCGCACTCTCAGGGCTGCCGTCTCCTGTCTCCCTGCAGAACGGAGGCACCCCGTTGCTGTATGCCGTGCGTGGTAACCACGTGAAGTGTGTCGAGGCTTTACTAGGTAATGAGACAGACTTTCACGTGCTGTTTACTGCGAACGCTGCCTGGAAGCGCTGACGTGGGGAGAGGCATGAAGTTATTTGGGTATCAGAAGGGGACGTGCATCCCTCGACAAATAGTAGCATGGAACAGATGGGCCAAAGCCAGGGCTCCCGAGACCCAAAACTGCAGCGAGTTTCCAGCACTTGCACCTTTTGTTCTGGGTCTCTGCATGGAATGGCCCAGATAGGCAAAGCCTGGGTGTCACGCGCCAGGTCATTCAGCCCCAGCATGTCAACTCCGAGCATTTACAATGGTCCTTCTGCTGTTTCCCGGAGTGGTCGCCCAGCCCCAGCCGGGGAAGATCAAAGCACCCAGGCCGGCCCTAGAGCCCGCTGCTCAGTAAAGTGAGATGAGCTGTCTGTGTAGAGAGGGATCTGCCCTGAGCATGTGCTCCTGTCTGCTTTCAGCTCGCGGTGCTGATCTGACGACGGAAGCCGACTCCGGCTACACCCCCATGGATCTGGCCGTGGCGTTGGGACACAAGAAAGGCAAGTGTCCTGCCCTTCAGACTGTCTAGAATGGGGGGGTTGGACCCGAACCCTGCCCCACTCCAGTACGGTTCCTCAGTGCCGAGTGCCACCTGTGGCATTCCCTAATCTGCACGGACACGGGATCGTCCCACTTTCCTGCTTGCTGAATTTGGCCCAGAAAAATCAGATTCTCTAGAGAGGGCATGAACACGGCACAGCTCACACCCAGCTGCTCACAGGGGCCAAGCCAGGGAGGGGTTGGGTGCGGTACGTGGTCAGCCAAACAGAAACAAGTCTAAATTGCCAACTTCCAAGGGGATACTGGAAGCAGAACGACTAAGAAACCCCAGTGGTGGCTGCCACGTGGGGAGCGCATATAGGCTGGCCACACTCCAGCTGTGCCTGTTTGAAACTCTACGGGTGTCTCTTCTCTTTGTGCCCATTAGTTCAACAGGTTATTGAGAACCACATCCTCAAGCTGTTTCAGACCAAGAAACTGGAGTGACGCTGGCTCGTGCTCCCTGCTGAAAGAAGCAGGGCTTTGCTGTCTCCGTCAGCTCTCCGGATGCTGCATGGGAACACGGTGGCCAGACACGCTGTCTCTTTCCAAGGGCTGACACTCCTGCAGCAGATCTGTGCTGCCACCGCTGAGCGGGTGTGGAGGGAGCGTTAGAGGAGATCCCTGCTGGAGGAGGAGCTGTTTACTCTCCAAGCAGGTGGCAAAGGAGAAGCATCCCACACACAGCAAGACACGGAGTTGTCCAGGTAGCTGCATTTCTGCTGCGAACAAGACTGCAAGCCGCCTCCCTCTGCCCCCTCTGTGTGTGTATTAAATGGAGCCTAAAGCAGCCCTGCCTGAATGCAGTAGCCGCGGGGTGGGGGCTGCGCTGGGAACTGGGGCTGGCTCAGAGAAATGCTCTTTGGGATGCTGCCTGTTCTTCAGATGGGGTGAGGGTGAACCCTGCCGCCTTCGAACGGGATTGAAAGTCTGCCCTGCTGGGGCAACCCTCTTCCCCCGGCCCACGCCACGGCCATTGACCATGCTTGTTGCAATGGCTGAGGGAGGGTTCAGGTCAGCGCACAGCATGCTGAACGTACTGCAGCGAGCTCTGGGGGAAGCAGGTTAGGTGGGGAGACCGTCTGCTCGACAATTCCCTACCGCCCCGGGCTAAACTCTGTGAGCCGCTCTAACCAGAGCCCCCTTCGCCTGGCTATTCAGACCAGCCACGTAGGGCTTGAAAACGCCACCCTGCTGCACTTACCCTCGCTCCCAGTGCGGACAGAACAGGCAGCAGCGCTGGGAATCATGTCCCACAAGTAACCTCTTCAGTCTGGGGCTTCCCTCCACCATGGTCACACTCAGCAACTGTTATTCACGCAGGTTCCTCCCTGTCTTTGGAGGGGAGAAATGTGCTGCTTGGATCTTCGGCCCTTGCAGCATCAGCTGGAAGGCAGCTGATTAGTTACAGGTGGGGCTGCAAATCCCCTTAAAGGGCCAGTCCCCCCATGACACTCATTGAGGTTTATGCCCTTCACATGTTAGTAGATGGTTAGGTCACTCCCCCACCCCTCACCAAGGCTGCATGTGCTTCAAATCTCACCTCTTTAAAAGGCCAGTTACCCGCTCTAGTTCAACGGTGATTAAAACTAGGCATCCCTGAGCCGCTGTGCTGCCCTGGCCTGCAGCCCCGGTGAGCAAGCCACCATCTCGCCTTCCAGAACGGGCTGCTGGGTCGGACGGATGGGACCAACGCATGTGCTGGTGGACCCGCTAGGGTCAATCCTGTGGCCACCCCAAGCACGTTGCAGGGAGCGTTAGCAGCAGTTTCTGCCTGGCCCCCGCCGGGGACCATGGTGCATCTTTGCAGCATCGTTCAAAGCTGCTGCGTGGGCGGACTTCCTTCCCCCCTCCAGCTTCTTCACGGAAAAGCTCAACAAATGCCCCCAGCACCGACGCTCCTTTCCTGTTCATCACCTGCCACCCCCCCCCCGCTTCCACATTCCTATTTTAGCCTCCCCCATCAACCACCGCCCCTCTTGACTCTCCCCACCAGCTGTCTCCCTTTTTCCATTCGTCCCTTTCAGTGCTGGGGTCAGAGGTACCTCCCCTCTTTAGTTCTCTGTGCAGGCCCCCTGGGGCGCCCTCTGCAGACAGCACCACACTGTCTCCGTCCGTCCAGTTGGCTCATCTCTGCGCACGGCTCTGTCCACTCATCAACTGCATCCAGCCACCAATGTTAAAGTCCACATGGTCCAAGCGGAGCTCCCGCATTTTCTCCTTAAGTGCCCATTGCTGCGTGGAAATCTTCCCTAGCCCATCTGGCTTCTCCCAGGCCCAGAACCTGGGCATCATTGCACCAGCCCATGTCACAAGAGTGGCATGAGACTGTTTAAGGTGCTCTAGACGCATCGATAGGTAGCCATGGCCTGGTCCATGCCTGTGTGCAACGCCACCCTCTGCCAGCTGCAGGCGAAGCTGGGACTTCAGTTAGAAGAGAAACCAGCTGAATTCTATGCCAAGCCATTAGCTTTGAACGCAAAGAAACCTAACTTGTATTAGACTGGGGAGCTTCTGGCGCGTAACTAGCACCCTGCCTTGCTTAACCGAGGGACTACGGTGTTTGATTAACGATGGCGAAACCAAAACAGCCAGAAACCCGGCTATTCTACAAGACGGGGGCGGCTAGTTTATCGCTTTTCCTTTGAATGCTGAAGTTACACGACGATGCTTTCGGGAGAGCGTATTTAGAGAAATGGGATTGTCGCCTTAGTTAAAAAAGAAAGAACAGAAACGCAGAGCGCGCGGAGTGGAAAAGGGGGGCACAGGGGGATTGGTCTAAATGGGGTTAGATTAGAAATGAGCTCTAATGGAATCTGGCCTATGTGATGGGGGCTGGGCTCGGTACCAGAATCAGACCCCCCACCTCCCCTAAATCAACAGGGGAATCGTCTGCTCCTTACACTTCCAATCACTCGAGCACTTGACTGAACAGCTCAGACGCTGCGTGCAGAGGGCCGAGCTACCGCAGGCAGTCAGTAGCTCGTGCATTGCCCCCCTGCTGCCTGGGGATGGCAGGGTGCTTTGGGGCATGCAGCCTTGAGCCTTGGGCTCAGTGGGATTGTCTCCCCCATAAGTAAAAGGCCTGGAGCGAGTGGACTGTCGGCTGATTGTGGTTTTATGTAGGTGTTAATGATACTTTGGATAACTCGGGTCTTATCTCGCCCCCTGCAGAGGCGAAGGCAGCTAGCCCCATTCTCACAGCTGAGTGTTAGGGGCTTGAGGCAGCTCTGACGGTGCCATTAGTCCTACCTTGGAGGAAGCAGCCACATGATATTTCATAGTTCTCTCTCCTGTAGGAGCAGGATTATCCCCACTGTCTCTGAAAGCCCTCGAGTGCACGATCCCAGCTGTCCCCTGGCAACTACCACCCTCCCCAGCTGGGCCGAAGGCAATTTAAATCTGGTCAGTTTGCCGGAGCAGCTCAGGCCTCACCCTACCGGGAAAGGGCAGAGTGGAATTCTCCCGCCTGACAAGGGTCTGAAACTCACTAGGCTTCATGGGCTGCAGCCCTGAGAGCAGGAGCCCTGAAGAAGCAGGTGTTCCTGGGGGAACAGACACTTCCCAGCTCTTCAACACCACTTTCTGAGCAAAGCCCGGAGCTGCCACCTCTGTGACCCCACTGCATGGGCAGAGTGGGCCCGAGCTGGGGGCAAGGAGGCAGTTTCCAAATTCAGTATGTGATTCGTTTAATCTCTACAGACCCACTCGCTTGCCCCACATCCAGCGTGGGCCAGGAGGCGGGAAGCATTTATTCAGCCATTAAACATGAGCTTCACCGCGTGACGAGCCACTAGAATACGGCATGTTTGTCATGCACTGCTCTGCACTATGCGGACAGCCCATGAACGCCACGGTGCGCTTCCGGGGGCTTTAGATCCTGCTATGAGGCCGCAGCTGGGTGGGGAGGGGGCCAGGATCCCCGACTTGTTCTGTTAATGCCCACGGCTGTTTTCTGTCTGAGCGTTTCCTGGTTTACTTCCAAGTGCCTACATTTCAATTGCAGAACAAGTCTGGCATCTCTCCTCTCTCGTAAGAGGTGCTGTCTGCCAAGGCAAATATGCCAGTTCATGCCACCGGGCCCTATCAGACAGGGTGGGAAGGCAGAGTGCGGCTGATCAAACACCAGGGGAACAAACCCACTTGGGGTGATAGGCTGCTGTTCTGCCATTTCTGTCCCAGGTTAGAGCTTTTCCCCGAGGACGCTGAGGCGATACACGACGATTCTCCCGAAGAAATCCGTGCTGTTCTCAAAGGTGATTTTCAGTTTATCCAGCATTGTTTCTTCTGTCTTGAAGCTGTGGACGGAGCAGTAAAGGAAGAAACAAGGGCAGAGGGGTACATGACACACACACAACTTCCAATACAGCAAGAGAGTCACTCACCCAGCACAACCCAATCAATGCAGGTAGCGAGCTGGGGCACACGCTATATTCTCACCAAAACAGGGGTTCATCTCACACCCCCCAACTTCCCTGGTACCCTCCTGCAAACTGCACAGAGAGCAAGGATTCCATCCAGCACCTGCTCCAACAGATTTACGGCCACCTGCCTTTCGATATGCCCGGGTTACACAGACCCTGCCCTGCTGACGTTGTGCAGCATTGAAACAACTTATGCAGGGCTGCGGTGGATTCTCCATCACCGGCAGGTTTAATATCAAGCTGGTTTTGGTTTTCTAAAAGATCTGCTCGACTTCAAACTGGCATTAATTCAAGGAAGTCTTATGGCCTGTGCCACACTGGAGGTCAGACCAGGTGATCGCAGCGGTGCCTTCTGGGCGTATACTCTATGGAAGAGCCATTCTAACCTAGCCCGTGGGGGTCATGGATCAGCGTTCACACTGCACTCCACGTCAGTACCCAGCCCTAGCCGTGGACCAAATTTGGTGACGAATCCTGGTCACGTGCCACCTGCAGCACGTTGCGCATACGCTTAGCAGACCTAGCCCCCAGCGAGAATGGAAGGATATCTGCAGAGCATTGATGTCTTCAGGGTAGAAGTCTGATATCTTCACAAGTTCTTCACCTTTTCTGCCACCTAAAGAAGCAAGAGGAGAGGATGGAAATGTCTGCGCTGGTTGCAGGGTTAGATTAGCATTATCACTGGATCCACGCTGGGAACTGGACGTCCAACTGTCTTTGGCACTTTTGAAAAATCCCACCCCATGGCTTTAGTACAGGACTGGGGGTCAGGCCAAGAACTGGGTTTCATTCCTAGTTCTGACATTTAATCTCTACAGTGCTATCCGTCCAGGTACCTGTATAGCCCTCATTGTTCTGGCCTAGACAAACCACTTTCTCTCTCTGGGCTTCAGTTTTCCTGGTTATAAAATAGGATCAGTCCAGGCCCTGTGAATTCAAATTGGACCAAAGTTCTCCCACACCCCAGCCCTGGGGAAAGACATTCCACTACAGAGATTCACACTGAATTAAATACAATTGATACTGTAACATCTAGTTCAATGCAATCCTCTGCGTCTGGCTATCCTGCCAGGCATTGCACAAGGCCACCCATCGAGCTGCAGAAGTGAACGCGCTGGGCTGTGGATTTGCGAGCCAGTGTCTCGCAGGCTCTTTGGCAAGGTGCTTTCACATGAAAGGCACCGGAGAACTGCCAAGTGCTCTTCTGCATAGCTGAAAATAACGACAGTGCATCGGCCACAGATCTTGCTCTGGATTGGTTCTTGTCTCAGTTCATCTGGCCTGTCCGCAGCATCAGTAGAACGTCGTCTGAGCCCCAGTCTGCCTCTGTCCCGTCATTAGAGCCCTGCAATCGACAGGAACGAAT